ATGGAATTTAAAGCTCAGCGGCGGATTGGAGATGCGGGCTCAGCATAACCAATTAGCCATGAGAAGCGCTCTGGAAGCCAGCGATCTATCTCTCTGTCTAACCATCCTTCAAACCTAATAACCATCTACTTCTGCAGATATGAGTTCATGTGCGCTCAAAATGTGAATTGAGCTTCTGACAACAAGCAGTTCATTTTAATATTAATTACGACCACAATTGATCGGTCAATCTATGTTGGATTTTGATTAAAATTAATAACAATATAATCTTCAATTCGTTAGAAACTCAGCTATCAAATAACCAGTTTAGGTTTAATCTTAGCTCTCATAAACATTTCAGAACCAACCAAAAATAGTTTTTATTCTTCTTTCACTGCTTTTCTGGTCACATTTTGTTTATAAAGAGACGTGTTGATTGGTCGCCTCCATGGACTTTATGCCATATCACAAACTAAATTTAGTATATGGTACGTACGAGTAAAACGATAGATTTAGAGTCTCGAATGCCAAGGTCAGGCTAGAGGCAATCATAAATTTGCCAAGTTTATGGAGGGGTGAAAAGAAAAAACAGAAAGCAGCGAATGCATTTGTTAGATTTTATTTATTTATTTTTAACTGACAAAAATTCTAAGCTTTTTTCTGAGAAAATTCGTAATGCCTAATAATTTAGCTGACGCTCATTTTTCATTATTTTTTGTGATAAAGATTCGGTTTTTTAAACCACCAGAAAGGAAGTAATAATAAGAATTATTTTTCAGAGATATGAAAATATTTTTAATAATAAAAATTTGTCTTAGCCATTCATTGTGCCGTACGTGATGTTATTTTATTATGAATTTAAATCAAATATTATTTAGAAAATAACGAGTATTTTCCAAATAAATTGTTTAGTAATTTAAAATGATTCATTAGTGATTAAAAGAAATCAAAGAAAAAACAAAACACAAAAAAATGTTAATTCAATCATGACTTTTTCAAGTTTCTAAAATCATAAAAAGAAAAGGCTTCATTTTTTTACAATTTGTTATTCAAGTGAAGCCTGGTTACAGCTACTCGATAAATAAATAATTTATTAACAAGGTAATTAAATAAACACTTAATTTAAAATTGGCGCCCTCTCAGCTCCCACGCATGCGCTACTCTCTCTCGGCGACGCTCTTTTTCTTGGTTTATAGAGCGCTCTCGCTCTGACGCACGCAGCTCCAATTGAACGCCAGGCTTTGGTATTTTTTAGTGCATTACAAGAGTCTGCGACGAGGCACAGTGGGCTTATGTTTACCAAAGATGATTTGAAATATAAAGAATATATTTGCTTATATCAAATAGTTAAATCTTAAATATATTTAACTGATATTCAGACTGATTTTTATTACCCTATGGTGGTTAATTTATATATATGTATTATTTCTAATCCTTGGGTCATACAAAGTAAGCAACATCAGAATTTCAGTTAGCATTTATCACCTCTAACCCACTGTGCGTTGGCAGAACAAAGCGACTGAGGCGTCGTGAGCGACAGCGGCTGCGGCTGCGGCAGCGAACAACATTGAATATTTTTCAGTTGCCGTTTTTCCGTTGCTGCAACCAGACGTTTGAGCCGGTTTGAATTCGAAAATCTCGCTCTCCCCCTTCGCGCTCGTATTTTTGTTCGTTACGAATTCAAAACAAAAACAACTGCCGAGGGGCACACGTATTTTGAGTTATTTTTAAAAGAAGATTCTGCTCTTTTTTTCTCGGTTTCTCCATGTTAAAACCGAAATAAAACCCAACAACAACAACCGAAAACCGATTTTGTGAGTGCAATAAACCAAACTGCAGCGGTGTAAAAATGCGTGTTTGGCTGTGTGTTTGTGCGGTGCATCTACGAAAATAAAACACGCATCAAAAATCTTACTCTTACTATATATACATACTCTCATCTATATGCATGAGCCGATCGGAGTGAAATTGTTTGCTTAGAAATTGGTTGGCCGAAAATTTTTGAAAGCCCCAATATTTGCATATAAGCCGCAGTTTGACAGTCATCCAACGAGACGGCAAAAAAAAAAACCCGTCAAACGGGTTGAAAAAAAAAAAATATCGTAAAAAAGAGATATTTATGAACAAAAAAATCTTTACGTTTTTGTGTGAGCAGAAACTGCCGAAAGCAAAAAGTCGGCAAAAATTATAGCAATTACCACAGAATATATATTTAGGACCGATAACGCCCACTAAAGTGAAAACCCAACGGTCGTGGTACTTCTATGCCAAGTTTGTGAAGTAACCAAGCCATTGCAGCATCAACAGCATCTTGCAAAAATAGTAATTTGATCTAAGAACCCCCACTGGAGGATAGAAAACCCTTCAAGAGGTTAACTAAGAAGCCACAGCAGCTGCAACATTGCTAGAACAAAAATAATAATAAAAGGCTTAGAAGAGATAAAAGACATATCTTTGGGAAGCCAAAATTGTCTTGCCTGCAACATCAGAGGATAAACTATGTATTTTGGCCAACTATAAAACTGCAACCTGAATACCAGCAGCAACTTTAAAGGAATATACATCTATATCTCAGCTGGGATAATCCGGAGAAGAAGGCTTAGATTAAACAGCCACCAATGCAGTACTAGGCCAGTTACTTAAAAGCAGCTACAACGGCAACACCAACAGCAGCAGCAGCAGCAGCAGTACTACTTACTGCAGCAGCAGCAGCAACACCTTAGAGCAACAACAACAACAGTGGCATTTTACAGCGAAGGCGGTGAAAGACGTTGGGTGCGTCAGGCAGTCATGGGGGTATTGAGATGGCGCGATTTACCCGGATCGCGTATATCGGGTTCTAATCGGCGGTAGCAGACAGCAGCAACACCAACAACAATCATCCCCACAGCAACAGCAACAACAATTCGCATCAGCAGCAGCAGCAGCAACACAACAACAACCATCACATCAACAATAATAACAACAACAACAATCGCGAGGTATGTGTGGGTCGGATATATATATCTCTATAATCGTTATACCGATTCTGTTCGGGATACATTTCCATTAATTAAATGCAATTTGGGCGTTTGTAATTGATGTTGTTCGACGGCTGTCCCATTTGTTGTTTGTCGCTTTTTGGCATTGTTTGCGGTTAGTCATGAACACGTTGTTGCACTTTTTGAGAGTCATTGCGAAGAAGTGTGGGTGTCAGAAATGCCTGGTTGGAACTTATAGTTTGAGCGTGATTGCTGAAAAGGGGGTTTTAGAATCATTTTTGGATAATTTTCTTGTTAGATTTGCTGTTTATATTAGCATTTATCAATCTTCTGTTTAGTAGCTTGGCTAATTAGTTGTTTAAATACAACTTTATGGAAAATAACTTATGGCCAGTTTATTTTTAAAGCTTGACTTGATTTGTGTTTGCATAAATTAAACTAACTAACTAATGCTTAGTAATTAACTTACAAAGTTGTTTTGCTTATAAGTTGTTTTTATTCAAGTTATTTTAGTTTAAATATAAATTAAATTTAGAAGCAACTTTACATGATATAGAGTTTGATTTTCATTATTGACTGATCTTTGCATACAGTTTCTGAGCCACTGACTGCCTGAACTTACTCTTAAATACCCCTTTTAATACCCCCGATAATGGCTTTTGGAACCATTGTGAGCTCTGCCCTGCCGAATCGTTCTCGATGGCTTATCAGCTGCCACTGTAATGGCTCCCTTTAATACCAAAAAATAAACAAAAAATGCATGAAAAACGCTCGTTTTATTGTAATTTCCATAAAAATGTTACTCAGCGGCATTTCACACATGACTTGTTCTCAGTGCGAGTGTGTCTGTGTGTGTGTGCTTTTAAGTTGCTTAATTTAAATAAAGTCAGAGAGGCAGCAACTCCACGAACGCCTCGCTGATAACACATCATGTTGAATGATGCTTTGTAATTTTGATGTTGCAAGACAGTGCCTACAAATTGTTAACCGGCAACCAACAACTACCTAGAAAGTCAAGAATCTTTGGTGGCAATTTGTTAGTCGATTGGAAAATCAACTAAAAAATGGAGAGATAGAGTAAAGGAGGAAGGAGGAGGACAAAAGACAGCCAGAGTTGACACATTTCGTATAAATCACTCAACAGCCGCAGCCGCCACCGCTGCAGCGAAAGCGGATTCTGGTTTTTTGGTCCGAAGCCTAGGGAAGTCATCATTATGATGATGACGATGATTGGGTTGTTGATTGTGATTGTGATTGAGATTGTGATTGCATTCATCATCATTATGCCCATTAGCCGCATTCTCCGCTTCAAGCTTTTACCTACGCACTTTTACTTCTCCGTATCTCTCTCTCTCTATCTCTCTTTAGGTATCTTGTAGATACTTTTGGCTTGCACAACTTTCGCCAAACACTCAGATAGATCGCACGCTCCAATTGAGGTTTTTAGCCTCGTTCTCCATCCGAATTCCCCAATTCCCAAAATTGTTATCGCCACCTTCTACTGCTCTGTGTCTTGAGATTGTTTTTTCTGCATTTAATTCACTTTGTTTGGGGATGTTTGTAGATGTTTGTGGATGTTTGTGGCTGTTTGTTGGGGAATATCTTCTACACTAAGCCAAATATAGTTAAAAAAATCATTTTTTTATCCAAAATTATCTTAAATTTTATTCATCTTTCTCATTAAAGAACTTAATGTTTGTAGTAAAGATACAAATTTCAAGTTTAAAAACATCAGATTTATCATCTTATTAAATACATTTTTATTTTCTCTGCAAACATATATTTTTAAACAAAAAAATTATCTCTGAGGCCCCATTCAGTCTGCTGATGATACAGATGATGAGGTTGAAAAACTCACAAAAAAAAAAAAAAAAACAAAAAGCCAAAAACTTTCGCTGCTTGCTTAGCCGAGATACTTTTGTATCTCTCCCCCTCATTCGATTTCGTAAGCATTCCACACACATGTGCCATCCCTTTGTGTATCTGCCAGATACTTTCAATGCCCAAATATCAGCTGAAGGAAATTTCTCGCTGCGTTTGATGTCAAGGTTTCCCCCGGCTAATACAGAATAGACGAAACCACTTGAATTGGTTGCGTTCTTTTTCTCCTAACCCCGAGAACCTCCTGCTGTGTGTAGGCACTTCAAGATACTCTCGCTGTATGTACGGTTAAAGATTCAAAGATACAGGACAGGACAGGACAGGACAAGGGGGTGGAGAGTACTGAAACCAAGAACGAGTTGAAGAAACCGCCTCAAGGTCTCTCGGAAACGCTTTCGCTTTTTGTCGCCACTCGAAGACTGTCTGCCCTTAAATGGCCAGCATGTAACTAACGATCAGTGCAGGCGTCTCCCATACCTCTATATACTTGCTATATACTTGCTATATACCCACTGAAGTAATGCATATGGATTGCAGTTGAGCTGGAGGCGCGTGTCTTGCATAATGGCCGACGATTAATGGGCAGAAATGGTAGGAGAGGGGCAGAGAACTGCTAATGAAAAGACTCCTTTTCTGTCTGCCAGTTTATTTTCCTCTTTTTTCTTGTGCTTTAGTGATTCACGGCTCGCCGTGGTTCTGCGTCATTTAGTCAATCGTTCAGTTAGTCAATTGCTAAAGCCAACGCGCACTTCCTTCTGGGAACGACCAGCACCGGATATCCATTTTGCATTTTGCAAAAAAAAAGAAAAAAAGAAAGAAATATTATTTATGTTTCTCTTTGACAATGTTGAGGAGAACGATGATGATGATGATGATGATGATTATGCCATGCCTCAGACTGATTAAAAGCAGACAACAATGCCCACACAAGCGGTAAAAGTGAGGCAAAGGAGGCGGCTACATTGAGTAGGGGAAACTCCAGACAGAGGAAAACCCACACGAGTGGTGCTCTGCAGCGGAAAGGAAACCGATAAGTGAGCAGGTAGTCCCAGAGATCCTATATACCAGATAAGTCTGGAACTGATAGATGATCATTGAATGGTAAACAAACCTTAGGGTATCAGAGAAAGTAGCTGCTAGGTTCCAAGAAAGGTCTACATATCAGTGAAAGATCTTGTTAGGGAAGGTAGAATGTATTGCTTACTGTTTACTGTTGAAGGTAATTGAGTAAGTGGTCTGAAAAGTGTGATAAATAGGTAAGAGTTTGTACATATATAAGGTCTCTAAGAAAGTACTAACTTTAGTTTATAATCTGCCTTGGCATTTTCCCTTAAAGCATTGCCATTACCACATTAATTTGGTAGCCACCTCACACGTGTTTCTCCTTTTTTAACGCCTGTCTTCTGGCCCCCTCTTGTTAACCCATTCACATGGACAACAATTGCTGGCTCTTTACATACAATGCCATATCTAAAGTTTTATATATATAGCTGCCCCTATGTACATATGCATATACGAGGTGTGTTCAAAAAGTAAGGTGACTCTTCAAATTTCGCGAATTTCAAATTTTTCGATTATCGAAACCTTTTAGAAGTTATACGAGGTGTGTTCAAAAAGTAAGGTGACTTTTCAAATTTCAAATTTTTCAAATTTTTCGATTATCTTCAGTTTTGGGAACAAGAAAAAGTCACATGGGGCCAAATCCGGTGAATATGGTGGCTGAGGCATTATTGTGGTGTTGTTTTTGGCCAAAAATCCAAATCCTTTGATCCATATTTTCGATAGCAAAAAATCGCCGAGCTCGAAAATAACTTGTAACTTTACGCCTCTCACAACCAAACAAAAGAGGATGTTCCATTGAAACTTGGTACAGATGTTAGGGAAGAGTGTACCAATATAACAAAACAAAAAAATCGATAATCGAAAAATTTGAAATTCGCGAAATTTGAAGAGTCACCTTACTTTTTGAACACACCTCGTATGTATATATCTAAGTAATGGCAACAAATGCGATGACAATGCGGCATTAAAAAGCATGAAAAACGTAGCCAGCAACGATTGTTGTTTTGGTTTTTGTTGCCTCTCTCATTGTGTAATGTTAAAAGTTGTGTTGACGACATTGACTTGTTGTTGTACCTGCTGCTGATGGCAGCAACAATATATATCTATATATATATCTGAATAAATGAAAAATGAAATTGCGTTGAGGGGGAGGTGAGGGGAGGCAATGTGTATTTGCGGTTACAGAAGTGTAAGTTTTGGCCAAACATTGACACTAGCTTATGGGCTACCTTAACACAGTTTTCAGTGGGCTATCTTCGCCATATCATTTCTTCACTCTTAGTATCTGTATCTCTATCTTTATCTCTATCTTTTTCTTTATCTTTTTCTTTATCTTTTCTCTTAATAAGATAAGCTAAAACTTTAGAGGTCTTCGCCTTTATTTTTGTATATACAAATTCAAACCACAGATAAGGTCGCTTATTATTTGTGTTTCTTTTCTTTAATGATTAAACAATTTTCGTGTTTGAACAAGAAAACACTTTTTGGCAGCTGCTTGGCTGCTTATTTTTCCTCTTTTTTTGAGGGCCATCGCAGCAGACACGCTTCCACCTTCTAAAAAAACAAACAAAAAATATCTTGACAAATTGAAAGCTGACAAAATTGCGACAGTCGTTGACAAATAAAGTGGTTATATGGCGAAATCGGTTCTAGTTGAGAGATATATACATTATATGCATAGCCCACACCTCGAAATTATGAAATTTTTTCTCTCAAAAAGTTTCACTCAAAAGAATCTGTCAGTCTTTTTGTGGCTTTTGTTAGCCCACCCAGCATTGAGAAAAAAGTAAAAGTTGTTTCACTTTTCATTATTAACGCCCATAAATAAGCCCTGAGATTCCAACTTAATATTCTGTTAATACTTTTATTATGTCCCCCCCTTTGATTTTCACTTTGTTTTCTATATGCAAACTATTCCATTCCGATTTATGTCTATGAATAGGCAGCCAGGCAGCTAAAGATTTTAATCGCTTTCGCTTGTTTTTTTGTTTTCCCAGACAAAACAAAATACCAAATCGTTTCTATAGCAGCGGCTCAGCTCAAACGAAAAGCAAATT